CCCAGACCTTGCAGCACGGACATCTGCTTTCATTCAGTCCTTTATGCGACCAAAAGCGCAGGCACGATTAGTGAGCGTGGGCTTAGACGAAAAGGAGCCTCAACATACTGGCCAGTTTACCCAGACACGGGAGAATGTCACGCCTCCACCTTTGGACATCGTGCTGATGGTTGTTGAAGGTATTTGGCACCAGATCGTCTTATGCCGTGACGCCTTGCTAACATAATGCGAAATAGAGAGCATAAGACCTTTTCTAGCTGTAGCAAAGCAACTTTCAAGAGACTCGCATCGAGTTCGGATTGCTGCGGCTGCATCTTGCGAATACTTGGTCAGAAGTCAAGGTCTTGATTTCTTCGCCATAACTTATGACCATGAGCTACCCCTATCCATGGTAATTGCTATACATACTCCCTAGCTATGAGCAAGAGTCCCGGTTAACTTTGCCAGCATAACATAAGTGATGCCCATCCTTCAGATGAGGCTCAGGCTCGGCTTCAATATTTGAGGAGAGTTCAGCAATCATATTATGAGGTCTACCACCGGTGCTGGAGGGCTTGCATTGCTCCTTTCAAGGGGGACCATCGACCATTTCTGGCCGACGCAATCATTGCGAATCCCATGGCTCGTGCCCACATCCATTGTGCTGAACGACTTTCAATCCCTCTTCATATCATGTCCGCCTTGCCTCAAACCCCGACAAAAGCATTTGCACATCCACATGCCTGGATAAGCCCATACGATGGCGTCGACCAATCTACTTCAAACGTGCTTTCTTATGCGATAGTTGAAGAATCGACGTGGAATGTGTGAGTAAGCAGGAGAAGCTTAGATCTTTAGGACTAGGCTAACATGTATTTCGTTACTTTCGGACAGTATACTCAAGCCCATCAACAGATTTCGACAACAGATTCTGGGCTTGATGAGCATATCTCCGGTTACAGCGGGAAGGCTCATGGCTGATCACGAACTTCCTCACACGTATTTCTGTTCAAAGGTTTTAGTTCCGCGGCCAAATGACTGGAGCAGTAACCACGGTAGGTCTTGTTGCTGCTATAGATCCTTGAGTGGAGTGCTTGAAGCTGATGAGAGCCACAGAGATTTCGGGTTACTTATTCGAGCAACGTGATCTTTCTTTCACACCCAGAAAAGACCTGGAATGTTTCCTGGTCTCGGGCCCCGCGCCTATTTTTCTAATGCTGCCAGAGAATAGCATAAAGGATATATTCCGTCTGGCGCTGATAATCCAAGATGCTATTTTGAAGAAGGGATACCGTGTCCTACTTTCCAGGGACTGTAGACGCCTTGGTGAGCTATTGAACAGTACCAACGTGCTCATCATTGAGTCTGTTCCGCTTGGTATGCTGAAAACATCACTTATATTATTGTTGTTACCTTGATGCTGATAAACCTTATATATAGAGTGGTTACTTCCGAGAGTGGCCGTTGTAATACACAATGGAAGCCCATCCAGCACACAATTGGCTCTACAGTACGGAAAGCCAAGTGTGATCATCGCCACAACAGAAAAGTAAGCCTACTCAACATTATTTGATCAAGCACGTGTGCTGCTGCTGACCTAATTAGTCATCTGTCAACTGCACATACAATTGCCAAAATCGGAGCCGGCGCTTCGCCACTGATGAGCAGAACGCTTACCTCTGAAGGCCTGGCGCAGGCAATAGCATTTGGTCTCCGTACAGATGTTCAACAGTCAACTCAAGCCATTAAGCGACAAGTAGATGAAGAGGCAGGACTTGAGAATGCTATTCGATCCTTTTATCGCTCTTTGCCTTCTCAAGTACAGACATGCGGTATCACCAAACACGATCTAGCCATGTACCAGATTTGGAACAGGCCATCGCTCGTGATATCATCCGAGGCAGCTGCAGTTCTAGTACAGGAGAGCGTCATCAAAATCACTGATATCGTGCTGTAAGTGGGACCTGTTTGCTGATTGTTGCATGTCTGCCTGGACACTAATTGTCAACTCCTGTGAACTCAGGATCAACCGTTGCATCTACAAATTACAAGCCGAGAGCTCCGTCTCTTATGATGGTACAGCTAAGGAATACTGGAATGGATTCACCAATGCGGCAAAGGATATAGTAATCGCTTCGGACCTTGTTAGCATGATTTCAGGTCGTCAAAAGGTATTTGTCTTTCGTGACATCTCTGGACATTATATTAGGCTAAAACTGCTATAGGAGAGCTCGACAGACGAGGAGAGGAAAGTAAAACGGAGTGTCGCTCGTGATGTTGGTGTTGGGACCGCAAAATTCTTTGGACACATTGCCTTGTTGCCATTCACGAGTCAGTAACCCCTTTCAACCCCAATTTGATATAGTCTGTCACTCACCTAGCAAGCATCAGGCACTGCACTAGTAGTGAACACCGTCACATACGGAGTCAAAAACGTCAAGAAGCACCAGGCGCAAGGCGAGAAACGTGAAGAAACGGATATCGCGGCGACTTATGATGTGAGAAGGGTTTCATTACTTGTTGACTGAATAGGGCTGATTAAATATTAGATCGCTGGCGATGATGAATGTGATGCAGCTGCTTCCAAAAATCCTGGCCTTAGCCCTTCGCGAGAAGGGGTGGATCCAACAAAACAGGCATGGCAGAGAGGATCCTCGCGCATTGGAATCACGGCAGGTAAGCAGCTCATATTGATGATAAATCCATAAACTCTGTGCTGATTCCAACTGAAGCTAGGACAGGTTCAAGCGCGACCCTGACAGCGAACCAAATTCAGCTCAAGAATGAGGAGCACGTTGAAGCTATTTGCCGGCGACATCTGGACCGTGGTTTCAAGAGCCCTAAGGTAGCTGATACAGCATTCAGAGAGAGGGTTCTTTCTGCCTTCGAAAACGGAGTCATGTAAATGAACTAGACTTTATTCATAATGGACATTTATACCACCCAAGCCTTACTGAGATCGTAACCGCAAAGAGTGCCGTAGATTTTGTAGCGGATAACCGGTTAACTAAAGTCATTGATAGTTCTGCGCATAAGTTAGTCATCCAAAACATCGCAAGCATAAAAAGGGTGGAGCCGTAAGGGTCACGTTTGCCATGTTTGCACCCGGCAGATTATGCTAGTGCAAGCCAAGAAGAGCTAAGTTTGCCGGCTCAGGCTTCCATGATTTAAGTACCACTGCTGTGACGAAGGTCCCGATGCAATACAGCTAGAACGTGGCAGCCTGATTGCCCAAAAATAATTGCACTTTTAGTGCTTTAACAGTGCAATGGTCATTGCAGGCATCCACGGCATCTAAAGAGTAGATAATGGAAGAGATGCACTCTGCTACTGCCCAGAGCTCACTTGAAATCCTGGACCCTGGATAGCCAAGTCGAATTCCAATTAGCCTTCAAATTCTACTTGGATCATATCTCTCATCTCCAGATACTCGGGTTGCTTCTCTTAATTATTCATTCATACACGATTGGCCTTGGTACATCCTACACATAGTGTTGCCGAACATACACGAACCCTGGCGGAAAATGCACAACAACTCTACTATCAAAGGCCGCCGGTCTCACCGAAAGTCACGCAGCGGTTGTCAACAATGCAAATTGCGAAAAGTCAAGGTACGTCCAAGCATGCTAGTGGTCGAGCACACAATGCATTGGAGATCTCGATGCTGACCTGGTTCCAGTGTGGAGAGGAGAAGCCGACATGCGGCAATTGCAAGAGACATGGAGTTCATTGCTCGTTTGCTCTCTCGACTCGAATGGCAGAGTCATCCCTGTTAAGTGATCAGAACTCCTTATCTAGCCAAACATCCACTCCGCAACCCGACTACAGACCAAGCAACCCCAGCACTCCGAGCGGTGGTGCAAGTCAGCCGCAGATGGCGGCGGCACCAGGGCCAGAACTGGCCATTGCCGACCTGGAGCTTCTGCATCACTACAGTACTTCCACCGCCTATACATTTTCGTTTCACCCGGTTATCCAGACACTATGGCGCATCGAAGTGCCCCAAATAGCGTTCAAGGCGCCTTATACCCTTCGCGCAATCCTAGCCGTGTCCGCATTGCATCTAGCCGTTCTACGCCCAGAAAAACAGGAACAGTATATTTCCCAGGCGAGCTACCATCACGAAGCATCCTTGAAACTCGCAACTCCAGAAATAGCCAACATCACATACGACAATTGTACGCCGTTATTCCTCTTCTCGGCGCTTTCATCATTCATCTGCTGCGCCAAACCGCTCAAAATGGGCAACTTTCTCCTTTGGGAAGACCACGAAATCGCCAACTGGCTAATGATTATCCGAGGCACTGGAACCATTATCGACTTTGCTCAGGAGTCCTTAAAATCGGGGCCATTGAGAACATTATTCAGCGTGCATCGACAACGTCATGATTATTCCGAGATCCCCGAGCCGCCAACGCAGCACCAATTCCTCGAGGACTTTCACCGTTTCGTCTTACATGAGGCCGCAGATGATCACGAAAAGCAGGTCTATCGTGACGCGATCTTCCATCTGGGCACTTGCTTTACGATATGTTTTGAGAAAGGATGGCGGCTTGAAACATCAGACGTGTTCAGGTGGCTTCTGCGTGTTCCTCATGACTTCCTGGTCTTTTTGAAAGAATACCGGCCCCTTTCTATGGTGATCTTGGGATACTTTTGTGTGCTCTTACATCAATTGGAATGGATATGGTGTATGAAGGGCTGTGGTACTCATATATTGTCGCAGATTTATCATCAGCTCCGCGAACCTGTTTATCGAGCTTGGCTTCAGTGGCCGATGGAACAGATCGGGTTTCTGCCGCCAAGGTAGTGATTCACTATCTATGACGCTTTCGCGTCAGCATCTATCAATAAGTGTGTTAATCGAATATACAACATCTATCTCGGCAATTAATTAGCACTGCCAAAATGGCTACATTCTATCTTCTCAGTCTAACTATCAGACTGTGACTTGGGTCCTCAAGAACCCCCCACAAAAATTCTCATTAAGTTTTGAAAGAATCCCAAACAAAGGATGAACATCAGTGGTGATGTTCATCCTCACACATTGTCGCGTCCTTCTTCCGCACATATGTCTCCCGGACGGGATCGCCCTCGTGGGCTTTCAGCTCCCATTGCCCGATTCCGTATTCTGGCGGTGCTATCTTTTTACCGCGCCCGCCTCCGCCCATGATCAAGTTACCTGGGCGGTAGTTGAGATTCGTCTGCATGCGACGCAGTGCAGAGACATGGATCTGAGCATCATCGGGAATATCGCGAACCTCTCCGCAAGGGAGGGGCCAGCGAATTGGCTTCCATGAACCGTCTTTTTGTAGGTCCATCCGTCGGAATGGAAGGTACTCCATAATGCGCCAGGTTATGACGGAGAGTGGCGATAAGCCGGCATTGAATTCCAGACAGTCGTGCAAGAAGCCGTCCGTGCTGGAGGCGACAAGGGCATCGTGGAAGCTGTTGCTTGACTCGGAAGCATTCTTCTTTCGCTCATCACCAGCCAGCTTGAGCATGTGTTGACCGTTTCCAGCTTGCTTGTGAATAGGATCGCGACAGAACTCGTGTCGAGGGTGCCATCGGCTGTGTTCGTTGATTGGGGTATATTCTCCGTCGTATTCTTCGTCGCATTCGAACTGCTTCAACTTCTTCGGGTCAAATTGCAACCCGGCCTTTTTGGCTTCCTGGACCATCCACACCAATGGCGCATGGCTCAATGGCCATTCCTCGCCTTTGGCCCGTTCCCATCCTCCTCCAATGTCGGCGTGGCAGCCGGGAAACCAGACTTCTTGTATGTCTTGTTTTCTCTCATCCTCTTCGTCGGCTTGGCCTGTTGCGAGCGGTATGTTAAGCGACAACTGCCCTGACTGTCCACTCCTGATGGAGTTAAGATCCTCGGTTGACTCTGTGGGTATAGGTATGGCGAGGTTCAGACTCCTTCTGGGCACTGCAAGATTGCTTGCGCGGTATGGATGGCATTCATGAAGATTTTCGTGAGAGGCGTGGGCACTACGGTAGACCGATGCCGTCTCTTCCTCATCGTGCTCAGCGGGTGGTGCGCCATCGTCCGTACCGATATTACCGCTGTTGACCCTGAGCACAGGTACATTTCCATTCCTGCGGCCCGCCAGAGGATGACGGAGATGCTGCATATACTGTCGTCCTCGCTCTTGAATGGGGTGTTTCTTATCATGCCATGGCCTGATCTCAGAGATCAAGTCTTGGCGAAATTTGGCTCGTCGCTCGTCAATGCTGACCGCATGTCGAATGACTCGAGCCGAGCTTCGGGCGGTATAAGGAAATTTACTTCTTTCCATCCACGCCGACTCGAATCTGGGAACGCTATTGACCGTATCGAATAGGCCCATAAACTTGATCCTACTGATAGGACGACTGAATGTTTCGCGGAACGCTTTCATGTAGCGAAACAGCTTCTTCTTTTCTTCCTTCTCCTCTTTATTGTCGTCTCGTCGCTGCTGCCATTTGGCGAACGTCTTCCAGGCGAATCGAACTAGCTCCTCATTTCCGGCTTCGAGTAAGCCTATATAGTCGAGCATCTCGGCCAGAAAGCGCGCTATATAAGAGCCTCTACTGAATCCGATGAAGTAGATGTCGTCGCCAGTCTGGTAGTACCTCATGAGGAACTTGTAACCGCCCATCACATGTTCGTCAAAAGAGGAACCAACTGCGGAGTCTTTGGCTTTGAGGTATGCCGATTTGATCTTCTGAATTCTCCCATGGCTAGAAAGCGACTTGCTTGTAACGTAGGTTCCGATACCAGGTTGGTAGTAGTGGAACTGGTGGCTCTTACTCCGATCGAGCATCTTCAAGTTCCGAATCAGCGAACCGATCACAAAGGGCAACTAGTCTGGCGGGGCCTGCCTTGGAGTTTACTCACCCGAAAGATCTTGAGAACATTGCTATCCGAGGAATCCCCACTAAACTTGTTTCCAGTGCCATCAAAGCACAGGACAAAGTGCTTTGGGACCCGTGCAGGGCCATACGGCGTCTGGGTGGCTTCCATTTTTTCAACAATCAGTAAAAAGGAGGATATAGCGCAGCCAGTCTTCATGTGGCCGTAGTGTGGAGGGAGATTTGATCTCCTTTCCAGGTGGTAGGCTATGTGCCGACCAGCGTGGAGGTGGGCTTGGTGTATATACATCCGAGGGAGATGGGGCAGTATGGCCGCTTATGCATGAACGACTAAGACTCGGGGCCCTACGCCGCGCCCGTCAAAGAGGGTGCACGCGGACGCTTCCCCCCTCCCCTGATAGAGTTCCTGCAGGCTCGGAATTTTGCCCGGGTTAGTTTCGCTAAGTGGAACATACAAGAAAAGTGGTTGGCGGATGAGGTTGTACCAGCCGACATTCCTGGCAGCTAGTGTGGGAAGGCTGTCATCACATCTTTTTTCCCTTGCCTTTCACTATTGACCAGTCATTTTAATTCGGCGAGGATGTACCCCACCGGCCTTCATAATCCTGGCAGACGTCAGCTGCGGACTTGCGGAAATTGGTCCATTCAGCTCAGCTCGTCAGAATTGGTGGCCAGAGGCTAAGACTGCGCCTACAGGGATTGTGCGTATGGCAAATGCCAGGCTCACACGCATAGACCCCATCCGGCGATCACCTTCACGGACCATATTGGGCACTATTTGCAACACTAGTTTGTCTTGACGTTCCTACGCTGGTGAGTGATTGTTGAGCACGACCCATGGGTGGGTTCGGGTGTCAGGAATAGATTCTTAGATGGCAGGTCGCCAAGAACGTGGTGTTAGCACGCCCCTACCCATTTAGTTAGAGATTATCCACCGCCTGAGTCAGAGATCCAAGACACGAGGAAAGATGATCTTTCCCGAGTTTTCCGCCGGTGGAGATACTCTGATCATCAGACGCATTCAAATTTGTATATAACATAATAGAATCGACAAAATCAGAGTTTTTCACGGGCTAATTGGTAAGCAGTATGTTTGGATATCTGTCTCCCCGAGTGTAACGATCACTGACTTGAAGCTTGTTGAAGGTCTGAAGGGCTTTCGGAAATTTTGCATATTCTGTGTGTATGCACTACTATACTTGTCAAGTCCAGCCTGCACAATCACAGATAAAGCAATCAGACCTCCAAGTTCGAAAAGCAAGGGGTGGGTTGAAGGGGAAAGAGTGGCTGGCGCAGAAGGTTGATCTTCTCCACCATGGGCAGAATAGGAGAGCATTTGGTGGGGGAGAGGATTGCAATGAAGGGAGGCAAAGGGGGACCCGGCAAGAGACAGAAAACAATAGTTCCTGTGTCTGTGATAGACAAAGTTCAGCGCTGCGACAACCAAGGCAGATGCAGGTCCCCTCATTGTGCAGTCCAAAGGAAGTACTATCGTGAGTAGCTGCAGGGGAAAGAATTTCCGGCCAAACAGGAAGGAGTAAAAATCCACCAAAGCGAGTGCTAGACATTTCTGGGGTCAGCAGAGAGTCATGGGCTGGGATGGGCGACCCACCTGGGACAGCTGCAAAGGCGACTGCCAGCCGTCCTCAGGACAGTCCTGAGTCCTCACAGTGCACAGCAAAAGCACTTGGGACCAAAGTTTGTCGAGTTCGTCGGGGGAGATACAGTGGAATAGCGGATAGCCTATTGTGATCAGCTTAACCCCCTTTGGGCAAGATCGTCCAGCTGCGGGAGGCCTGACCGCCTGAGGTATCTCCCGTCCGGGTGGGCCTTGACGCCTGGACGGCCTGATGGCTGGAGCCTCCACGAACCATTCGGATGCTCCCGATCGGCTCCCATGGGACTGCACTCTCTTGACATGACCAACCTTCGCCTAATCCCTTTCTCAGTCTCACAGAACTCGGTCAATTACCTTTCCAAAAACAGTTGTCGGACTCAATAGATAACAAACTTGTTTGCCAAGCGTGACCCAGAACATTTGTTGTTGACGTCCAGCCGACAAAATCTCCTCTCTCTACCCTTTTCTCTCTCTGTGTGTGTGGGTGTGTGACTACTATCTGCCTCGCTCCAAGTTACCCGGACTGAGTTGGCTGTCAGCCAGCCAGCCACAAGTCTCAGCACTGGCATGACTTTCCCGGTCGAGATTCATGTTTGTGGATTCTTCCTTTTCCCTCCCTTTTCTCTTATCGCTAATTGCTAGCTAATTGTTAGCTGTTCACTGGCTTCCGCTAGGAACGACCACATCAGACTTTCACGATCAGATCGATCGGGCGGCCTCATGATGAAGTTCACCAAATCAGTACGATGTGGATACCCTACCCATGCAGATCGTCTTATTCCAGTTAGCTGGTCTGATCCACCGCTTAGCTCATCCGCGTAGATGGAAGGTTGCGTGTCAGTCTCTGCACGTTTTTGATTGCTTTTTTTAATTTTCATTTTCCACCTGTCATACCTGGGCCTTACTATTCGATAGAGACAACACCCGTGTTCGAGATTCATGGATGAAAAAGGTCACAATCTCAAGTATGGCGTGTGTAGAGATTGATGCCACTGACCTGGGAAGTCGACGGCAAGAAGCCACGAACACCTGGGAAAGTTAAATGAGGATGATCCCGTGTTGCGAACGCGTGGGTACCTTAAGGTCTGCTCTTGATTGGACTCCGCTGCCATTCGTGTCGAAATTTTGTCCTTCTTCGATGGACTCCTCACATTCACTGGGATCCGCCAATGACCGCAGCCTTAAAGATATGCGCCTGTGCCGTGCCTATCCTGTACATGTCTGCTCATCCCCTCCTATCCCATCCATTTGGTGTTACCCTTGCATCCGAGGGGCTGCAGATGGACGAGGCCATCCTGCAAATCTCTGATGAACGGTGAGCAGTGTGGGCTGGAGGTGATCCACTCGGCTCAAATGTCAAGTTCTTCAATCTCGACGCCATTGGCCAGATATTCGAGGGCTAGTTAAGCGGAGATGGGGGGGTAGAGTTTTAGAGGCCCACTCTACCAACCTGCGGCGCTGCGCTCGGATGAACTTGGGGATTTCGCCAATAATTCGGCACCGTCCGGTGTTTTGCTCCGACGGCGGACCACTAAATGCCACCCTGCAATTGGCACCTTGGAGCCGAAGTGGAGGTGACCCTTCCCTGTTCCAGTGCCATGGTCCCGTTCGACATGATTGCTTGGCATCGATCACTCGCCAAAACAAGTTGTAGCTTCTCTGTGACTACCGGCACTGAGCCAGTGGGATTTCTTTCCCCTTCTTTGTAAATATCTAAGTACGACTACAATGGTCTTCTTTGGTTCTTTTACCCAATGTGTCTCGACTGGCGAGAGGATTGCGTTTGCCGCTCGCGTGGCGTCCTGAACCTTGCCAACCAGTTCTTGACCAGTCAATCAACTTCAGGTATCATTTTAAGTGAAGGAATATGTAGATCCTGTACGCATCCCCGCATATCATTTGTCTCCCGTACCTTGGGCAATATCCAAGACCGACCTCGCACAGCTGAACCACGTTCGTTCCCACTTGGCACACGCCCCCTTTCTTCAGCCAACCCGACTTACTCCACTCTTTCCGGGACAAAGGTTCAACCATACCCAAGGAGATCGTAGCACATTCTCGCGGGGCTTGATCAAAAGATCAGCAGCAACTTCGATACGGTGCACATGCTAGTGGTGTCGGACAATTACTATTGTCGCCATTGAGATTCGAGGGCTGGGTCCACAAAATGGCGGACACAGTAAATAATTTGTGATTGAAATTGGCCCCAAAGCATGATGACCCCATGCATTGTCGTTTAAAACCCTATTCTTCCGATGGATCGCAATCCCAATAGCTTGTGGTTAACCTTTTCTTCTCCTCCTCCTACTACTCCTCCTCCCTCTGCTCCCTCTTTTTTTTTATCCGCGTTTCATTCCAATACACTCTACTTTGTCTTCGTTTGTTTATAAGTTATCTAAGTGGTATAATCATAATGTTGCGCAGATTCTCTTCGACATTCAAGAAATCGTCGAAAGGCGATCGCGATTCTAAACCGAATGGAACGCAGGTGAACGGCCAGAAGCGCCAGTCGAAAGTGCCGGCCCCGCGCAAATCCTCCTCAGATGAGAGTCACAGCGATCACGGCGTCGAAAGCGATGACGGCGTGTCTGTTTTTGAGAAATATGCCCAGGTCTTGCATGCGTCCCGGCGTCCTCTACCAAACCAGACCGGCGATGGCACCTATCTCGAGCAGGAGCATTCTGGGAGCTTGTTCAAGGACCTTCGTGCCTTGGGCTTCAAGGACATTGGTACCCTGAAAGACCTTATCAAAACGAAGGCCAAGGGAGAATACATTGATGACAAGACTATGCTCATGGAGCGTATTATCCAGGTGAGGCAAACAACTTGAAATTGAATCTTGACTGCAAGGATGCTAATCAACTCTTCCGACAGCTTGTCAGCAGCCTCCCGGGGAACTCAAAAACCCGCGTCGACCTCACCAACGCCTTTTTGGACGAACTGTGGGGGTCCTTGCCTCACCCTCCTCTGTCGTAAGTTGAGGCTTGATATATTTCCCGTGAAGTGCGCTCACGCTAATACTCGGCAGCTACATGGGAGAGGAATATGCCTACCGCTCAGCAGACGGTTCCAACAACAACCCTACACTTCCCTGGCTAGGCGCTGCGGGGACGCCTTACGCTCGCTCAATCGCGCCCTTGACTATCCAGCCCGGCGGTTTACCTGATGCCGGTCTTGTTTTCGACTGTCTTTTCGCGCGCGAGAAGTTTACCCCTCACCCTAACAAGGTGTCGAGTCTTTTCTTCGATTGGGCGTCTCTCGTCATTCATGGTTCGCCAGCTCTCCCTAGCAACGTCACAGCAGAGCGCTAATCAGCAAATATAGACATTTTCCAGACCGATTACACGACCCCTCATGTTAACAAGACTTCAGCCTATCTTGATCTCTCGATCCTGTACGGCGATGATCAGGAAGACCAAAACTTGGTCCGGACTTTCAAGGATGGCAAACTGAAGCCCGATACCTTTTCGGAACAGCGGCTCCAGGCTTTCCCGCCGGCCTGCTCCGTGTTGATGGTTATGCTGAGCAGGTTCGCAATACATTCGCTTCCTGATATACTAAAATCTTTCTAACCGGTCACTAAACAGATTCCACAACTGGGTCGTGGAGGAGCTGGCAGCGATCAATGAAAACGGTCGCTTCAACAAGCCCGATCCTCGTCTCGACGAAGAGAAGGCTAAGAAGGCCTGGGAAAAGTATGACAACGATCTTTTCCAGACCGGACGCTTGTATGTCATGTTCCAAATCGCATTACTGCAAGCATGTATTCCTGACGCTCTATAGGGTTACATGCGGCCTGTTCATCAACATCACGCTGTACGATTATTTGCGCACCATCGTCAACCTGAATCGCAGCAACAGCACATGGTGCCTGGTAAGTGAACACAGATGGTAAAGAAGCAAGGAGCAAGCTAACTAGCAACAGGACCCTAGAGTTCAGATGGAAGGCACTAAGAGTACCCCGTCGGGTCTCGGTAACCAGTGCTCTGTCGAATTCAACCTCGCATACCGCTGGCATTCTGCTATTAGTGCCAACGATGAGAAGTGGACTGAAGAGGTCTACGAAGAGCTGATGGGCAAGCCTGCCTCGGAGGTCTCCATGCGTGAGCTTCTCTTCGGGCTTAAGAAATACGAGCAAGAGATTCCGAAGGACCCGTCCAAGCGCACATTTGCCGGTCTGAAGCGACAGGAAGATGGAACATTCAAGGACGAAGACCTCGTTAGAATCTTGTCCAATGCGATTGAAGATGTTGCCAGTGAGTGTAACTCTTACAAACAGAATAGCCAATTTACTTACCATTGCAGGCTCTTTCGGTGCACGGAATGTGCCCAAGGTCCTGAAATCTGTGGAAATCATTGGTATTGAGCAGGGTCGCAAGTGGAACGTCGGCTCTCTGAACGAATTTCGCAAGTTCTTCGACCTTAAGCCATACGAAAAGTTCGAGGACATCAACTCTGACCCGGAGGTCGCTGACGCTTTGCGACACCTGTATGAGCACCCAGACTATGTGGAGCTCTACCCTGGTATTGTCGCCGAGGAAGCGAAGGAGCCCATGATCCCCGGTGTTGGTATTGCGCCTACCTACACCATCTCCCGCGCGGTTCTCTCCGATGCCGTGGCTCTCGTCCGTGGTGACAGATACTATACTGTGAGTCAACCCAGCATGCCTATAAGAATCGCTATTAATTTGTCTAGATCGACTACAACCCACGTAACCTCACGAACTGGGGATACAATGAGGTCCGCTATGACCTTAACATCAACCAGGGATGTGTGTTCTACAAGCTCGCGATGCGGGCCTTCCCTAGCTACTTCAAGCCTGACTCCATCTACGCGCACTACCCAATGACCATTCCCTCCGAGAACAGGAACATCATGAAGAACCTCGGTCGCGAGTCCCACTATTCGTATGACAGACCCCGCTACACGGAGCCTGTTCCGAACCTGTTGTCCTACTCCAACGCGCAATTAGTCTTGAACAGCCAGAAAGACTTCACTGTGCCCTGGGGTGGACTCAGCTCGATCCATGCCGGCAAGGGGGGCGCCGACTTCTGGAGCAAGTCATTCGACAATGAGCAGTGGAGGAATAGCGTCAAAGAATTCTACGAGGACGCCACCCTAAAGCTACTCAATGAGAAGTCTTGCAAGCTTGCTGGTAACAAGCAGGTTGACATTGCAAGGGAGTAAGTCGTCTAAACCGACGTAAGATAGTGATTATGCTAACGAGATCAGTGTCGGAAACCTCGTGCCTGTGCATTTCGTCTCCAAGGTCTTTTCGCTGCCACTGAAGACGAAGAGCAATCCTCGCGGCATCTTTACCGAACATGAGATGTTCATGATCATGGCGGTGGTCTTCACTTCCACGTTCTTCGATGTTGACCCTACCAAGTCCTTCCCTCTCCAACATGCAGCCCGCGCGGTTTCCCAGGAGCTGGGTAAGGTTGTGGAAGCCCATGTCAAGTCCATCAACCACCCTGGCTTCCTTCACGGCATCATCGATAGCTTCCGCGACGATCACAATGCCCTGAAGGACTATGGAGATCAGCTGATCAAGCGCCTCTTGGAGAGTGGTCTGGGAGTGTCCGATGTGACCTGGGGCCAGATCTTGCCGGCAGCTGTTGAGATGGTCCACACTCAGTCTCAAATGGTAGGTTCCCTATGCTGCATATTACTACATACATTACTGACATTGGAATAGTTCACCCAAATCATCCACTTCTACCTTACCGAGGGCCAGAAGTATCTCCCAGAGATCAACCGCCTGGCCAATGAGAATACTGCGGAAGCTAATGACAGGCTGACCCGCTTTTGCTTGGAGGCTGTCCGCCTGAACGGCAACCTGGGCATTTACCGCGAGGCTCAGAACGACATCAACGTGTCTGATGAAACCGGTCAATACCGCGTCAAGGCAGGCGACAAGGTCTTTGTCGGCTCGGTACGTATCACCCAGTCTTGGAAGCACGAGCATCGCTAATACCACATAGGCGAAGGCAAACCGTGACCCTCAGGCCTTCCCATCGCCTGACGAGGTTCGCCTTGACCGCCCCCTTGACTCCTACCTTCACTATGGCCTTGGCCCTCAGAGTGGCCTGGGTAAGGATGCCACCCTGGCTGCGGTGACTGCCATGGTCCGGGTTGTTGTCCGTCTGGACACTCTCCGTCCTGCTCCTGGAGCTCAAGGACAGTTGAAGAAGATTCCCCAGGAAGCTGGGTTCTCTGTATACCTGCGGGAGGACTATGGCAGCTACTCTCCGTTCCCGACTAGTGAGTTTGCCTTTCCGATTTGTGCTTGAAATCTTGCTAACCTGGATTACTACAGCCTACAAAGTACACTATAACGGCGATGTGCCGGCGCCCAAGCGACAGGTCACGACTGCTTGAGATGATTGGTGATCTAAAACTTGTTGGGTCAAGTTGGTAAATGTGTTTAAATAATTCATGTTTGAGATATCCTTGTTTGTTTGATCAGAATGCTGTATCCTTTCGCAATGTATGCTAGTGCTCTAAATATACCAGCAAGAGCTTTTTTTGTGCATCACACGCATGTTGTAAATCGATCCAGAAAGGTGGATTCATAACTGCTTAACGCTATCTAATTGAATCCTAGTGCACAACAATCCCTACCTACTTCACCAATGGTCTCTGACATTCCCTCATGGGTAGTATGAACCTTATGAAGAAAACATACCAAGCAACAATCACGTCCAATCGCTTCACCGCACTACGTAGTAAGCGCCAGGCCCAAGAATAGCCGAAGTTTTCACCCGCTCATTTAAAGGACATGGGTTCGGGCACACGACCCTCTGAACCCTGCACCCTAACTCCCAACCTACACATCACCTGATTGGATGGTTTAGACATAGCGGCTCGTGCCGTCCGGCGAAAGCCATAAAAAGAATCGTTGGGACTGGCAGGGTTGCAAGGACCAGCCCCATCACAGAACCAGGATCAAGGACCCTGTGTGGGTGAATAGATAGCGAATGGAAGACAAGCACAAGGAAGTGTCCTCTTGTGACTTTCCATTTATCGCGTAATTTATTGGGAGGGAACACAAATCAGCCTTACAAGGTAAGAAGTATTTACCCCATTTAATGTGTCTACCTAGACAGTGCCTTCAAAGACTTAAGGTCAGTCTGTTGCCTACTGCGATAAAGTTTCCTTACTCAGTTAATGCTTTTTTTTTTCTTCTGTGAAGTTTTCCCTTTGCTTTTTCTTCTCTTTTCTTTTCTTTTCGAAGCATCCACCTAATGGTTCTTTTTACAAACCACCCACCGCACATGAACCACCAGTGTTTCCAAATGTGTCCACTTTAAACCCAACGAAAATAGCTTAACGTCCAGGGTCTGGTTTGATCCGGTCTCACCCACGGAAAATACACCAATAAACTAACGAAAATTAAAGGTAACCGCCTCCGCTCAGGGGAAACGCCCGGCGCTTACTTACTAGGCAGCTTGGAACTTTCCGGATCTAATCTAGTAACGTCGTAGCGCTAGAACCCGGTCCATTACTTCCATTATTAGGCGCTGTTTGATGGGCGGCGATCGCCCCTCTTGGTCCTGTCCTACATAACAGTAGTAGTAGTGAAGTAATTAGTACCTAGTAGGCTGTGTCGCATCCTAGTCTAGTCATTTTTCGTGCCTTTTTCTGACTGACTGGCTGACCCCGGTTTATTTATCGGGGCGGGTGTTGTCTTTTCTGGTCTTGTCTTGTCTTTCTTGGTTGTTCCATTTCCGAATGATAATCTCATCCACATTCACTCTCACATCCACTTCTATCTGACTTGGACCAAGACAAGCTTCTCACCCTGTTTTATCATTTGCTTGGTCTTACACCACACACACACACACACACACACATACACCTTGGCTATCATTATCATCACGATTATCATTACCATAACTCCAAATACGATTCCAGATTTGATCCAAATTCAAAATCAAACACAAAATGGTAGCCATCACCGCCCGCGACCGACCCAAAACCGACTACGAGCGATGGCTTGAACTCCAAGGCAACTCCGGCTCCGATGACGACGCAACTAGCAGCGATGAAAAGAAATACCATCCTCCAGGGCCTCTACCTGTTCCGGAACATGGTGGTCAAGATGCCCATGCAAAAGCAGATGATGATAATAATGATAATAATAATAAACATAAATACATCCCTCACGGCACATTTATCCATCATGGGTATCATTATGAACGGCCGGGAGTGTCAGCCGATAACAACATCAACAACATCATCAACGCCAACAATCATCCACATCATGCACTACTACCAGATCATCGCTTGGACGGGCCCTTTCCTGGAAATTATGGAGGTGTTGCGATGAAGTTGGCACTGCTGGTACTGGTGGTACTGGGGATACTGCATGCGGTGCGGTTTGTTCGAGGCCGTCACCGACATCAGCCTATTCGGTTACAGAGTTCGAGGACGGTGCAGGGTGGGTTTGGACGGAGGGATGATGGGGGGAAGAGGAATCTGGTTTGATTAGAGGGGGACTGGTTCTTGGGGGTTATGGAGGATGTTGTTGGTATTCTTTGATTTCTGTTACTGGTGTTGGAGGAGTTGGAGGATGTTCTGTATACACCTTGCTTATTGTACTATCATGTATGTATGCTTTGATATCATATTTCTCATAGTAAGCTCACAAGAACGCATGCTACATGAGGAACAAAATCCATCTGTCATTGAATGCATACATCATGATGACAGTAGTCAAAGAACCCCGACCCAACTCAACTCAGGATCCTCCTTCATAAGCCTAAGCCTTAACCAAGCCCACCCCAACCGGACGGGAGCGACAGCAGCCACTCCGCTCAGCACCGACCTCAATCCTCCCTGCTGGTTGGTCCACCCTTCATGTTCCCTTCCCGTTGGGGGCTATCAGCTAATCTAAGTGTCTCTCTAATCTCTATCGAGTTTAAGTAGACTCTGAATTTGGAATGGATCTGCAAACGGGCCCACTCAATATCAAAGTATCGGTTCGATTGGATGTTCGGGGCGCTTGTGATATTGTACTAAGCTGGTAAGCTGGGTAAGTGAGAAAGGGCGGCTGGAGTTATTAAGGATAGAATAGCATTGTAAAAGTCGCTAAGTCTGAAAAAGCAAGAGGACAAATCAAGGTGGACTACTCACTAACTAAACCGAAATGAGTAGTGGTACCGGCGGGGCGAGATACTTAATTTTGGACCGGCTATAATCAGGGGGAGGAGGGAGGGAGTGGGAGGGATGAGGGCATATCCGTTAGTTAGTTTTAGTTACTGTTCCTGGTCGGGTGTTGCCCGTTTTTGTTCGGAGGATATTTGTTATCCTGCTAATATGTACTAGAAATACTTGTTTGTTTGTTAACTGTGACCTTAACAGCGATGATATAAGAGCTATGACTTTTTACTCTGCTAATCGGTCACAAAAGTCGAGGCTGGAATATTAACAAACGTTCGGGTCTTGGCTACAGGTCGGTCGTAATCTCCCCGAGTTGTCGCTCTAATCCCCGAGCCATGAAATGAGGTCCTGGCGCAGCATTGAGTGGAGACTACAAGTCAATAGCTGCATGCTAGCAACCAACCACTAATTGTGTATAGAAGTAGCGCTGGATATTAGCCAGGACACCGTTCACCTGCTATCTCATAGACCCTCGTTATATTCAGCATCTCAGCCATCATGATCAATTGTATTGACGCCCTCACCACAGTCTACATCACCGAACTCTCGTACATTGAATGCTTTAAATTACATAGTAAGAGCATATATCTTAGAGCTTTTTTAGGATGTTGACGTTTATACACTGTATCATGATCTAAAAAAAAGCATTCGCCCGATGGCGGCTATTAACCGCTGTACTAGTCATCACTAATGTCTGCTAAGAATACTTACTAATTACTTATCGCAAATCGAAGATTAATCCAATGCTTCGGAATCGGTATTCAAAAGAGATGCTAGGCAAGTGAAATGTCTTCCACGCACCTGGTAGGATTAGGAGAAAACATCCTGCTTCTTTAGAATTTGTCATAGTCAAAAAGTATGCAATTTATACAATGAATGATCCCGCTCATAAACATGATCATATCCTCCCCCCATTCACACCCCCCGCCAACTCAAAAACAGGCGGCCTCGACCCCAACTCATAAACAGGAGGTCGTGAACCTAACTCATAAACCGGCGGAGCAGACACCAACTCAGCAACAGGTGGAGCGGCAGCATCTCCCTGCAGCTCCCTCGGATGATTGTTCTTGGTTCGATGGGCTATGTATGTCGAAGGCATATCATAATTTGCACGTCTCCGTGCGGCCTGTATCCTTCTCGAGATCATAAACCAGATCATGAAGATAATGAGCGCTAAGCCGGCGACACCACCTACTACCCCGCCTGCGATGGCACCAGTATTCAGTTTGCTTTCTGTGTTTGAAGATGCATTTGTCGTAGACTGCGCAGTCGCCGGTGATATTATCGACGACGATAAACTACTAGTATCTGCTGTCGATGTAGACGAAGATGCATCTGACGTCACCGTAGCAGACGTAGTAGCAGACGTGGCTACTCCCAGTTAATCTCAATCCATCAAGTCAAGCAGCCGCAGCAGCAGCAAGAAAGATAAAAAAAAAAAAAAACGTACACGAACTCGTTGTCGAAACCGGCGACAACAAACTAAACTCCGACCCTAACGTGGAAACATCATCTGTACAGCCCACGAACCCATTCGACACCCTTGCAAACGCGTCCAGCCCCCTCGAACAACAGAAGTAGTCATTCTCATAATACAAAATGGCCGAGGTATTCCCGCAATGCGGATCCAGTTTGAGAAGGTTGCCGCATGCTGCGGCGGAGTGGCAGCAGTTCCCGGGGGCGCAGGTGGCGCCCTTGGGACAGCATTCGCGGTAAGGACCCCAGGTTGAACCGCAGTCGTTTTCGGTGTCGTAGCAGGTGCCATTACGGCGAACGGGGTAGCCGAATGGAGGGGCGAGGTCGTTGGTGTCGTTGGACATTTTGTTGTTGTTGCTGTTGCTGTTGCTCTTTGCTAGGGGAGGAGGCAGACGGCAGGGGATGTAGGGGTAGGGGCAGTAGTCTGGAGATGGGAAACAGACTGGGATGTTTGATTGAGTTTCATGGAGGGTAATGATCGTTCTTTGAAAAAGATGGAGATGGCTTGTTTTTAGAGCATGGTTTCTTTAGTGTTCCCTCTTGGGTGGCTCGGCGGCTAAATGGTCTGCTAGCTCTGGTGTTTCGTGTCTTGTGTTTGGTCTAGGGGCCATATCTGCTACGGCGTTCGAGTTGTGTCGAGTTGTTAAGCGCCCACTTCTGGCATGGCCAATGACTTATCAATCACAGCTTCGGGCGAGTGAAAAGAAGTGCTCGGACTTAGCTGATGCTAGGATTGGCGCGCACAAGAGCAAATACTGAGCTGGGTAAGGCTGTATCCGCACAGTGCGAGTGAAGGCAGGGTGGATCGAGCAGCGTAGCCATTTTCTTCCTTTCAATCAGAACTTAGTAGTAGCAAGGCAGATTGATGGGGCGTCATACCGACGAGTGCTTCATGATCCTTGTTAGTGTGTGTGGACTAGACGAGTAGTCACATTGCTGGACTCCACCGCCTGTTAACGTACTAACTCCCGGCCGCGCCGGCCACCCATATCATACCATACAAAACTGTCTTTTCCACATTAGTTATATCTCTCTTTCTACATCTTCTGCGAGCCTGGTATCAACTTTAAAGATGATGGGGATAATAGATAATCTTACTAGTGTTTTCTTTTTTTCTTTTCTTTCTTGCATCCTCAAACCGCTGCAATATAATAAAATGATATATAAATTTTTTAATGAGTCAGTATCCTAGTATAACCATAAGATTACAGAAAGCTTTTTTTTTTTTTTTTTTTTTTTTTTTTTTTCGAATACTTTGCTATCTAATATCTTCACATACTATGGACATCTAGAGAGAGATATATATTATACGAATTGAGATATGTCCGTTCTGAAATGGTGAGTTACATAATAGCTCTTTGAATGGCTCTGGACCCGAAAGCTTCAATTCAACAATCTGGATCTCTCGCACACTGAATTGGCACCTAGTATTCACTTGAAAGAAGCCTGAATCTCCGTCATCAATGAGAAATATCGGGCTCGTATATTGCTCCCACGCTGCTGAATCTCTGGCACCCAATGTAGATTCCCATAAGTCTCGAGTTCCTCGGGGCCGCATATACCTTGTCGCTCCCGCCCTGCTGAGTAGTGCACTCCACAGCTGCTCGATCCTTACACCATACATCTCGCCACCCATAATCCACAGCTGTTTCCGGGGTGTACGGCGGTTCGAAAGCGAGACTAAGCCTCTGGCATTTGGGCGATGCGCTGTGCTCGACCTCGAAGTCAATCTCAACCAGCTCCGACCCTGCGACTGTAGCTGACATGCCGACTATATTATCATCCTGCGCAATATGAACGGCCTGGCGAGAGTTGGTGTCTAGATCGCCCGTGCTTGCCATGGCACCTGATCTATAGACGAAGAGCAGTCCAATGATTGCACGGCCTCGAAAGTAGGCTTCGATGGTGACTACCCTTTCGGGGCAGGTATCATCATTCCGCGTCTCGAAGTAGAGCTTCTGCACCTGGTCAAAAGGGGGAGAGACTTCTGGAACAAGTAGTCGAGGCCTCCAGTTTCTGTGGGGTGAATTTACTGCTCGGACGCGGTCCGAAGCTTCGTTGAAGATCCATGAGATGGCCGTCAAATCTTCATCGAAGCAACGTTGATATTCATTTCGTATCATTCCGGTGGGAAAGGTATGGGAGTCCGGGGAACGGAAAGTCACGCTGCGCGCACATGTTGTTTTGAAGCGTATGGCTGCGACGTGACCCACTGCCAACCCCGGAGACTCGGAAGAATAGCCCAGAGGAGCGATCCACACGGTGACTGATTGAATTTCTTCGTCTGGTGATATATCAAACCCATCTTCAAGTTCGTTCATCCACTGTCCAACAATGGCTGGACTGGGATGGTTGTAATACTCAAGCTTCAGGCCGGAGATGCCATTATGGGGGCGGGACCAACCCGATATGCCGGCGGATGCCTGAATCTTCCGTATTCCCTTTAGTGATGCATAACTTTGATAGTTACCCGAGTTGCTGCCGTTAATAAAATGGGAGAATTTCTCGTCGTAACGAATCTCATTATCCGGCACCAGATGACATTCTCGGTCTAAGATGTGTGGAATTGTGGATGGTTCGTCACAGAATTGTGATTGGATACCGATTCGGATAAAATGGGTTCCGTATGTCTGTCACCTGCTTAGCTATTGCTCGAGCTAGTTCATGAAGCTTCACCTACCTTCTGGTGGGCAACAAGCCCTGTGATGAAACGGCCAGGCGGCAAGCTTGGTATTGGAGTAACAGATGCTTCGAGCCGATAGGAAAGGGGAGCCAGTATGATAGACCGCTCATAGTTAGTTGACACCTTGACAAGGTTAGCATGGTGCACAGATCGGTGGGAATAAAGAAGGACAGACCTGTAGCCCACCAAGGCCTTCAGATTGATAGAAATCACGATTATCTTCCACGATGCTTATCGCGCTGATACGTTCACCACTTGGGCCATTGATGGGAATCGAAATGGCACAACCACCCGTAGAACCAAAGAACACCGACTTTCCGTCGGCGTAGTGATAGCCAATGCCGATAAGAGGGTGCGGGTAGGATGTCATGTGAAAGTCTAGTCGGACTAAGGACATGAGACATCTACCTCCTGGGCCACCGAAGTCAATATTTGACAGCGGTTCAAAGGCACGGGGTGGCTCAGACGGTAGAAGGAGGCTGACAAGCAAGCCTTCATGCATGGGGGCATGGGGAACCCACAGTTGGGAAGGCGTGTGGAACGGCTCCTTTACGTCCGAACGAGTCCGATGCAAAGAGCTTTGATGGTCGTCAATCCATTCAGCAAGGCCAAGTGAAACAATCTTGAACCGGTCTATGTCCGCAAGCAAGTGGTACTGGTCTGCTCTTGTCGGAATCTGCAGTGTTCCTTGAGCAATGCCTGGGCCGTTGCTAACACCAATCCAGCGTGATGAAGCAGAGTTATCGTATTGTAACTGGATTCCCACTAAGCCTTCCGCGCAAAATGCCACGCGAAAAACCTTGATGAAGAGGTTTGTGGGCACGTCTATACACGTTTCGGCAGCTGGATTGCGATAACCAATCAATCGACCAACGCAGTTGCCTTCGTCCGACGGCAATATATTGATACCAGAGATAAACCGGCGTGCGCCGATCTTGACAGTTGATATACCAATTCGCTTTTCATGCTCTTCCTGCGGGACCATAAAGGGCTGTGCTTTTCGATAGAGCACCCGACATCCCTCTTGCAGGGGGCAATCTTCATCAATGTATGCCAGCTGACCTGAGAAGTAGCCCACAACCTTCGCTAGCCGTGGGCCCGCTTGGAAACCTTCTATATCAACTAGGGTGAAGTTGTTCCCTCGCATTGGCGATGGACAATAGTCCACTCCGCCGGGGCCGCGTCGAAAGATGGAGTCTAGGTCCACAAGAGACGCGATGGGCTCCAGTAGGTCCCGGATTCTCTTTCGATTAACCAGTGGTGGCGTGGCAGCTTTTAAAGATGCCCTCGTGGCGAAGAAAAGTCTGAACCAATTTTGTGATTCTGAAAGACAAGGGAAAACAAAGTCAGCCTCCTGGCCGAGAAGGAATCTACTCCGCCAATACGACCGTGAGAGCATAGACATATCTGCGAGTACCGCTAAATCGTGGCATACGAGTCTCAGAGTGAGATGCTGTTCAAAGGGTATATAGGAAAAGATCTCAAGCAGCAGCTCGGTTGAGAGGTTTCTGAAAGCACGGTACCTCCTTTCCCCCACCTCTGCGAGGCTTCCTACTGTTGAGTTACCATGCGACAAGTTTCGCCCGCGACTGCTCCCCAATTCTTCAGAAGCAGAACTGGAATCAGTCGGATAATTCATAACCGAAATTGCACAGGGGTCAGCATAAAGATGGGAATTCAAATCCACCGGCTGTATCCGCCCGAACACTTTATGTGTTTCCGCAGCGCCCGCATAGTCATGGCCGAAGTGGAAGATGGAGGCTTCGAGGCACGGAGTGCAGTAAAGTTGGTAGAATACCATTTCGGGAATTGCGGTGTCAGTTTGTGATAGCGATCCGACTCGCCCATGGTTGAGCCTCAGAATGAGCATTTTCCAGCACGACTCGTGAAATCCAAAACACCATTGGCTATCCGATTGTTCGCAAAGCCTCCATTCATCTAGGGCGTCAAACGCTACATCGCCGTAGACTCGATTACTGTCCAGTGGTGCATGGAGGGTTTTCCGACCGCGTACTACCCCTACCCCAGTAATTTTGATGTGATCAACGGCAGGATTGGTCGAGTAGATACCCCGAACTCGTGCGTACCAAGGGCGGGCGCTGGACTGTGGGGTCTCCGGACCATCCCAGTATGGGTCGGGCAGCAGAATCACTCCACAAAACGGACAGTAAACATTGGACACCATCTTGCGAGGTGGCACACTTGTGCCTTTCGTAAGGGGATAATTGCTAAACTAAGAGCCTGAATGTTGAATGTTTCAGGAGAGGCGCAATAGAAATGTCTGCTAGTCGAGAGCATTTTGGCGGGATAGTAATGAGGTTGCGTGTAGCCGCTGGAAGTCATGGGCTAGTTATTAGCCCAGAGCTCCGGGCGCTACAGACCGCTTGCCCAGTTAGGGCTTGCTGGATATGGAAGGATAGCCGGGAAGGACCTAAGTCATCACTCCCTGTAAAGCAGCAGAATCCCAACTTTAGTGACCCAGTCAGTAACCATTTTTGGTGGAAAGCGCTTAGCCCTGTTGTGATAATATGATGTAGTGATTCGATAGCATTGTTAGCTGCACGTTTGAGTAAGCGCATGGTCTCATCCTGCGGCTTAGCCACGGCCGGCGCTTAATGAAAGGGCATTAAATGGCCATCTAGGGCATATAGAGAAAAGAGACCAGCAGACGATTGCGCCATATCCTAATATTAGGGTATTCTGACCAGAATGGAGCGCTCTGGGCGCATTCTACTGTATATTCTTAGTAAAAGATTGGCAGCGGGCGCTTAGACAGCGAGCAATCATGAAGCATAGTCAGCCACCATAAACGTGCGAACATCACTGCCGGACAATGGATTATTGGCTCTGAGGGCATCTAATCCCATAAACTGTGGTCCTATGTACCGCAACCACGCAGTAACATGTCTCAAAAGCTTTCTTCTGTCTCAGCAGATGCTCCTTTGTGTGTTGTTGACTGGGGATGGTTAGCTGCCTGTCCGACTCAGCGGCTATACGAGGGCCTGAGCTGGAGGATTGTGCTAGATATTGGCGCCGAAGCACTTCTTGCCATGATTCGATTCTTCGTTATAAAGGTGAGGTAGATTCTGCTTTCAGTATTGTCTATCAACTCCCACAATCATACTTTCTTCACAACCCCCCTGCAATCAACAATCATTCAGGTCTTCTCTCGATTCTTTAAGCCTTCGTTCCTCCAATCCGAAGCTCGAAACCTTTGTATGTCGCAACATGGCTGGCCGTGTCCCATACTTCCAGAACCATATGGTCTTCCTCAACACACTCCAGTTGATCAAGCCACACAGCCTAGAGGAAACCGTTCAGACCTTCTGGCAGGTGATAGTAGGAGATTGGTTTCGCTATGATCAAGGCTACAAACTTGGCATTAAGGGCCCCACGCTTGCCAATCGAAACATGCCCGATGTTACCGTCATCGAGGTAATGGCACTGCAGGCAAACCCACGAAGCACCCCTGATTGGGCAGAACGCCAGATCTTGATGGTTGAATGCAAACGCCCATCCTACGACACTCCCAACGGCTGGAGTGACACCATCGAGGGCCAATTTTTTGATGATCTTCAACAGAATCTCAACCATTCCGAAAAATTATTCGGGGCAGTGGCTATTGGCACGAAAGTGAAATTTTTCCGGTTCGACGGAAAAGCGCCAGTCCACCGAAGGCTTACTCCGCTTCACCGCGATGTCTTGGATTTGAAAATCCCAAGCCAGCTCGTCCAAGTCGAGGATCTGTTGAACTACATCAGAGCGAATGGATGGCAGTGGGCTAGCACCCGTTGAATTGTGTCTGGAAAGAACCTTTCCTTGTATCATGGCATGCTATGTCCCGGCTTTTCTGGCTTTTGATTTCTACGTCTCTTCTATGTCTACAAACGTTCGCTGTTTTTATCGTATTAGTCGCATATATTGTAAAGTCGAAAGCTGCTATATTACTTCATCAGCGTATGAGCAATGATGAGTAGGCTATTCTATCCCATATCAGTGTTCGGTCTCGCCGATGACACCCCTGAGCACATGCATGGACTCTTCAACTTGCGATTAGTCTTTCAATCATTCCGACTAACTAACTACCACTCTTGGTGGGTAGCTCATAATTAGCCATACTTATGATGTTGTAGCACCATGTCTTATATACTATAGTTTACTTAACAGATAGTATATGAATGGCAATACCTTAAGCCTCCGGCCCTCCCTTCATACCCCAAATCACACCCCAATTCAGTTCAAAGCTAATACCTCACCCAACAACTCAACAGACCGTTCCCCTCTAATTCCCACACCGATTAACGTCGCAATTAACACAGCACCGCTTAGCCTCTCCATGGGAACACTTTCTCCTCCGTCTGGACCGCTTCACGCTTATCGTTCGCTCCGCATCGCGCATAGGGATTGTCGCAGAGGATGCAGCAGCGTTTGGCGATGGATGAGTCCTATCCATATGACATTGATTAACATTCCACGTAGTGAGAACAGAGGTAATAGAAAAGAGGAAAGAGTATAATAGTACCTGATTACTTCCAACCGGACTAGCCAGCGCAACAGGCAGAACCGCCAACGAGAAGAAAGTGATGATGCTGGAGGGACGCATCGTTCGATTTTTTTTTTGGCTTTGGAAAGGATGTGATTCGGTAGATAGCTCGAAGAGAATATCCAATTCTGATGATCTATTTTCTCATTCCTACCGACCGTTCACCCCAATTTAGACCCTCACTTCCCTTCTACTTACAACTTTTGTCCTGATCCGACCTCGGTCCCTCTCCGCCCGCGCCAGCGACAACCACTCTTGGCACATTGCCATGTCTCAGAGCAACTGGATCCATCAAACCAAGGCCAGACTAATAAGCGATCAGCAATGTAAGTTGCACGTTGATCAGATAAGATAATCAAACAATCTTTAGCGCAGGGTCTCGGAAGCATACCCCCCTTTATGGTGATTCTGTGCCGTGTGTGTGCGGGATATGTGGATCCCTTTTTGATTTTTCTCTATGGGAGGGGTGTGGATTGTTGATTAATATCTAGTGGTACTATAATATCATTGTCGTACTCGTGCACCACTCCTGGATTAGGGTGTTTGTCTGATGTGTTGGAACTGAATGAGAATGGTCGTTTGATTCGGGAGGAATTGGGGCCGTTGGGGGGATGGGCTTTGATATTAGGGGAGTTTATTATACGTACTAGGTAATGATGGGTTTTTTGTCTACTTTGTGTGTGTGTGTGTGTGTGTGTGTAATCATTTTCTTATGATTCTTGTCGCCTCGATACTTGGGAGTTTTGAACTCAGAATTTGTAGTATCTGGTGACTGGGAGTACAATGGATGATATCGGTATATTATTTGTATGATTCCAGTCTATTTACACCTAGATATCTTCATCCCCACTTATTTTTGTAGCTAGATAACAGTGGCTATGGATCCCCGAATCCACATTGTATAGGGCCCCAATGATATCGCCACTCGCTTCCCAGATGGGGTATAAATTGTGGACCAGTGACCATACCTGGCATCCCAGTAAACATTTCTGTACAGCATCTACTTACATTATATATTTCTAAGAAAGAGGGTTACTACTGATATTCATTGAATAATATGACTGCCTGGTTTATTGTTTCTGAATACCAATATCCCCAAGATCTTTAGACAAAAGGTGTTTTTTCTTTCGTTTCTCTCGAGTATAGGTTATAAACAAATCTTGGGCAATTGGAAGGATTTCAACATTATAACTTTATTTATTGCTTGGTTGGAAGAAACTTATTCTGGGAATATACTAGTGAGGTTAAAGGGGTTGTAGAATATGTTTTGGTTGATGTTATAATCTGTACATCCTGCGATGTGAGCTAGTATGTTGATGAATTAGGAATATAGCAGTGTATCAGAGATGCTATTGATTTACATCATTTGCGTCATACTTTGCATAACTGGTATTCTGTTTTTTTACTTCTATGCGTTATGTCAATAGTAAGATTTTAATACTCTCAATAGTATTCACCTTGTAATGGGTTGGTCTGATTTATGATAGATGTAATAACATGAAAAAGTCCAGGCTGATAGGAAGATATGCTAAATGAATACTCATCATTTCTCATTATCTAATAGCAAACCTCCAAACACCATTGCTGCAAGCCCCTGTTGTAAGACTGAAGCTAAGCAAAGCAAGCAATCAAAGCAACAAGCAAACAAAACAAAATATACGCTCTAATCCGGTCATAGTACATACATTATAACATACAGACATGCATACATACAGACATCATGACTAGCTGTTCGCTGCTTACGACGTCGCTGCACTCGCCCGCGCCGCATTGCTTAGCTGTCGATGATACGAGCCAATGGTTTGGAAGCCCCTGTTATATCAGGTTAGTTAGCATACTGTCTTCCCCGAGAGGGAAAAGGCATGGAAGGCACCCACCTCGCCAGGTCAAATCCGCTCCCCTCCTCTTCGTCGTCCTCCTCGTCAGGTCGCTCGTTCTTCGTCTCCGGTTCACGGCGTGGTTGCATGCGGCCAGTCGTCATACCGTTGGCCGTGCCTGGCTTGCTGGGACTGGCCAGGTTCGGTGGTGGTGGACTGCTGCTAGGGATACTTCCCAGTCCGTCGCCCAATTCGCCCTTCAGTGGACTCATGTCTGGCACGGGCCGGGCCGGCGTGCTGCCAATGTCTGCGAACTTCCAGAACTGCGCGGGAGAGCTCATGGGCATGAATTTGGATGGAATCTGTGCGGTACTCGGCGGAGGCAGTCGTGGCTGCTGGCGTTGCGGTGCTGGTGTGATCATCGACGATGGCCCGTCATCGTAGTATGACGATGACAGCACAGGCGGGGATCCGGCGATGTTGTCTGACAAGCCATAAGTCCGACTTAGACTGGTGCCGTTGCTGGGGTTCTTTGTGGCGGATCGCGTGGGCAGCGGGGATGGTTCCTCGTAGTCGCGGGTATTGGAAGGTCGCAAGGGAGCTCCTGCACCATTACGGGCGGCACGGGAGCCTCGTTCGGGAGTATACGCTTCAATTGGTGCAACCGGGAATGAGCTGAACCCAGGAGACGACACCGGTGGGGACTTCTTCGTAGCCGAAAACACCGCCTCCATGCCGTTGGCGCCCCGAGCGGCGGGATCCCTCGTGGCAGGTGACGACGGGGCAGACGATTGCGTTCCCTTCCGCAGCTGCTTCTTCCAGTACTCTTCGCGATATTCCGGGGCAATCTGCCATTTCATGCCTTTGCCGGGTTCGTCTGTCCGTCGGGGGACTTTCTGGAATGCCTTGTTCAAAGACAAATTATGACGAATGGAATTCTGCTACTTGTCAATATTTTCTCTTACAACATAGAAAAGGGTATCTCACCTGCCAACCGCTCTGGGAGTGGCGGTAGAATGCGTACTTGTCCATGATCCAGTTGTAGATACTGTTCAGCGTAAGTTTCTCCTCTTCGCTCGAGAAGATCGCCTGCGCAATCAACGTCGCATAGCTGTATGGTGGCTTCAAGTCCTTGGCTGCGTCCTTGCTGTAATCGATTTCCTCCGTACTCTCCATCATCATACCGCGGTTATACAGCGGCGACTGCTTGGCCGTGCGCGCTCCCACTGTATCGGGCGACCGCGGAGGCGGCGTCACCTGACGCTTGAGGAACTGAGGTGCGGGAGCCAGCGAAGGGGCGCCAGTCGTGGCTGGGGCTGCATCCGCAGTAGCGGCAGTTGAGGGAGGCTGGGGATGGGCATGCTGGGAGGCATCCCAGGTAGCTACATCCTCCTCTCCGTTGGCGAGACGCTGGGCGCGTTCCACAAAGGTGGGATGAATATTGGCCTTATCGCCGGGCGTGACAAACATCATCTGGGTATTGGCGATCTCAATGATATCACCGCACGAAAGGATCGCATCGGTGCCGCGCTTGAGGATCGCACTGTTCAAGCGTACGCCGTTCCGACCGTTGACGCGGATGTGCCAGGACGCCGTTTCCTCACCATCGTAAAAGATCTCCGCGTGCAGGCGTGACACAAACTTGCTTGGTCCCAAATCCACATTTACCTCCGGCAGTGCGCGGGCGGCGATTGTAACCGGGCTTGACTGTTCATCCAATTTTTGTTCGCGGTCGGGCTCGCGGCCGATGTTGACGTGGAGGGTTTTGACGTAGTAGGTCCAGTTGCGGCCGGCGATTTTGGCGTAGGCGCGGATGCTCTGCTTATTTTCGGTTTTCGCGTTGGAGTGATCACGGAGCACGCGTACTTCTTCGCGGGCGGTTTCCAGATACGAGATCACCATATCCACCAAGTCCTGGTTTTCCGACAGTTCCTGATCGGGGGACGAGTCATCGGCTTCATCGGCAGATTCCTGCTTCACGGGTCGAGGCTGGGGAGAGGCACGGTGATCAATCTATTTTCAAGTCAACAGCTGAGCCTCCTGATATATCGCTGGGCTCCCATCTACTACCCACCTTGCGCTTCTTGTTGGACGGCCGCGTCGGGGATGAATCCGGAGCCTCCGCGTCCGAGGTTTCCTGCAGCTGGATTTCCTTGCGCCGCGCGCGACGACGGTTGGAAAGTGGCATGGTGGTGGTTAAAATGGGGCGATCGCAAGACCGGGGTCAGCGTCGAAATCCTCTAAACTGTGTTGTCCGTAATCTGGTGGCCAGCGTAGGTGTCTAACGGGTCTAATCTAGGAGCGTGGTGTGGGTGGTGATGTGATGTTGAGGGTAGAGTGTGAAGCTAGCGGTCGTGTGTGTTGACGTCGAGTCGCAGGAATTCCGCGGCGAAAGCAGACCAACCGTGATGAGCTCAGCCGGAACAGAAATTCACAGACAAATGATCGGCGAGAAAATGAATGACGACCGAACGAAAGGCAGGCGAAAATCCAAACCCAAACCGGGATGGCAGGTCCAGGCAGCGAGAACCAAGGGAACGTTTGCCACTCGCGCAAAACGGACGCGAACTGGAGGAAGAGGAAGTGGAAGTGGCTGACTGATGCAGACGAGAAAAGGGCCAGCCACCGCGGGGAGAGACCCGGTCGCGAGAGAGTTTGGTTCGGGG